GGCTCTAGAACTCAGGTATGGAACTCAAAATCAGTCAGAAGTCTACAGGGCTAGGTTTAGGACGAGAGTTCGTGCTAAAGGGGAGAGCCTGCAAGAGCTGGCACAGGACTTGGAAAGTATGGCACAAAAGGCCTACCCAACTCAAGTTGTTGCTGAGGGATCTGTTTGTAGATGCCTTGGACAGTCCACAACTGAAGATACAAGTGAAGCAAGCGCATCCCTCTACTATGCAGGATGCAATGGCCAAAGCTCTTGAATTCGAATCATACATTAAGTCCAGCACAGAGGTACCAAGTTTGGTACAGTCATCAGGATTCAAGGCCAGAAAAGGTCAGCTTTTAGAGAGGTTTGAGGGACTTTGCTGGCACTGTAACAAACCTGGGCACAAGAAAGCTCAATGTTGGCAACTTCAACACAGGGGAGATGGCACAGCAGGAAAGGCTGCTACCCAGGAAGGGTGTTGGAACTGTGGAGAGCAAGGACATATGAGGAGCCAGTGTAAGAAGAATAACACCAATAAATCAGCTTCGGGAAACCAGTAGTGGTTGATGCTGAGGGACGCCCACAGCACCCCTATCGTGAAAGTCCCAACAGCTAAGTGTAAAATGGCAAGCACACATAGTGTCTATGTGACAGGAAAACTGGATGGCCAAAGGTGCAACTTTGTCATAGATTCTGCATCTCAGCAGACCCTTGTGAGCATCAAAGTGCTGGATCACAAAGGCATACCAGAAGCTGTACAGAAGTTTTGTGGTGTGACAGGACAATCTGCAAGGTTGTGGGGACCGATGTGGGTAACTATTGAGCTCATGGGCATAAAGGACAGATACAAAGTATACTTGGCTGACATTGAAGACGAATGCGTATTAGGATTAGACTACTTACTACCGAGGAAGTTTGTGATTAATTTTGATAAAATGACGTTTGGGAACAACAAAGGCCAAATTCCGGTAACTGTTAAAAGAGTTGTTGAACTAATCAAGCTGAAGTCAAAGTGACCAGAAATGGAACCAGGTATCGATATTAAAGCAGAGCAGGAGAAAGATCAAGATTTGAAGCCAATGATTGATTTTCAGAGCATGAAGCCACTGGATCTGTTAACAGGACGCCCACCTTATGAAGAGTTGCCTGAAAATGTGTCAGAGTTTGTGAAAGTGTTATCGGAAAGGATGGATGATTTTCACCATCAAGTGCGTTCAAACTCGAAAACGTCTGCTGATTCCATGAAGTTATCTTATGATAAGATATCTACTGAAGTCAGATTTGTACCAGGAAACAAGGTGTGGTTGTATAATCCCAGGATGAGCAAAGGAAAGTCTCCTAAGTTGTCTTCGCCATGGGAAGGCCCATATGACAGTGGATCGTCTCTCAGACGTGACTTTCCAGATAAAATGTGGTCGGCGAGGTAAGCCAAAGGTGGTGCATGCCAACAGGTTTTGGCGTTATCACGGTCCAGGACATTTCAGCTGGGACGAAGTGAAGAACGGAACAAATGACGCTGCTGAAGACGTGTCACCTGAAAAAGCCACTGTCGAAGAAGAAACTCTACCCGGTTTTGAGAATGGTAGTAACTTCATCAAGGGCTTCACTGTTTTCCCCTGATGTGACTGTTACCAATAATGGGACATCTCCTGATGGAGGAGATGAACCCCACGTGAAGCAGAAGCCAATGAGACAGAGACCAGTATGGAAGAAGATACGTCC